ACACTTCCCAGATGTTGTGGTGTGATCGCACACCGATAATCCGCCTGCCATTCGTGCCTTTACCGTGGCAAATCCTCCGTGTGAACAGGGCCCGTATTTGAGTAAATGTAATCAGCAAACCCAAATTAGGAGCATATACTATCTTCTAAAGACTACTCAGATGGCTGGGGAAATATAATGATGGTTCTGAGGGAAAATCAAGTTCTCCCACAGATATTTGTAAATATATTCTGTGAATTAAATGCATGTTACATTCAGTCAGGGCTGGCATATATGAAAAGACATACAACCAACTCTTTAATATTCTTGTAACATTCAAAATAATTTCTCATGGTACTTTTGTCTGTAAGTGCAAATACATAGGTACTAAAGCCAGTGTGGTGTAACGGTTAAGACTGTCAGACTCTAATCTGGAGAACCAGGTTTGGTTCACTCCTCCAGGTGAAGCCCACTGGGTGATCTTGGGCCAGTCACAGTTCTCACAGAACTCTCTCAGCCCCACCAACCTCACAAGGTCCCTGTGGTGGGGAGAGAAAGAGAATGTGATTTTAAGCCACTTTGAGGCTCCTTAAGGTAGAGGAAATTGGGGTATAAAAACTTACTTTTCTTCTACTCCTCTTAAGCTAAATCCAAATGTATATGCACCTATTCCTTGAAAGCACATGAAAACAGAAGCAAGGAAACAGCAGTATTTCCCCATGTATTACAAAGAGGAAATGCTGATTTCTGTTAACATAACCTATCTCCCTGACAAAGTCACTTGGTCAGCATGTATTTGATCTCTTGTGTAAGTATGACTGTACAATAAAGTGAAATACATGTCAGGTCCTGTTTCTGTAGTTGTAAAATGTGATTCTGTTCTTATATCCATGTAAATAAATGTACTGTACTAATCACCCTTCTTACATGAATGAAAATATACTATACTTTGCTGAACACAGGTTGCTCGCCTTGAATTTCTACACCACACCCTAGAAGGGATGGATAACCTAGTTTTCATTAATGAGAGCTCCAACACAGAATGTCTCACAAAGCTCACACAAGCCATTTGTCTTATCTGAACAGGAAACAGAATGTCAGGAAGGGCCCTGTGCACTACAGAGTTGTGATTTAAAGCATATTTTAAAGGGAAAACCATTATATCTCAAGCTCATCTGTGTGCAAATTCTGAACACAATCAACTGATTGAGGCAGCAAGTGCCTAAATTAACAGAAATGTCCACTCTCGCCTGAATACATTTAAATCATGTAAAGTTGTTCCTGTAATATGTACCTACAACCTTCTATTTCCGGGCAGTCTAAACGAAAAACAAAGTTCTGTCATGTGTGCATGTGATTTGCAATGAAATTAAAGTGTTATTTTTTTTCAAGGAGAGATTTTGTGATCTTTATTTGTAAAGATCAGAAATCAATTGTGTGCCTAGCTGGGATCATGTACTCTATCATGAACTCTTATTTTTTAAAAAATATTGTGACTACTATTACTCTGTAGTTCTGCATAGTGGTGTGTTGTAGCAGTAGTCGTCCATGCCTTCCTGAGTAGTCAAAAAATTACAAACATTTCTTTTTTTCTTGTACATCTTCACAAATAATTTATGATACCCATTTCACAGACAAGAGGCTTGGTACTGAGATAGCAGCTTCTCCAGCTTAATTAACAGGTAAAAGCATGGCTGAACTGTGACATAAGAACATAAGAGAAGCCAATGTTGGATCAGGCCTGTGGCCCATCCAGTCCAACACACAGTTGCCAAAAATACCAGGTGCCATCAGAAGGTCCACCAGTGGGTCCAGGACACTAGAAGCCCTCCCACTGTTACCCCCCCCCCAGGCACCAAGATTCCCAGTACTTAACCCATTAAACTTCACTTATTTTTCCTTTGACTCTCTTTATTTCATGCATTATGGGATTCCTCATATATGGCCGTTCTAAAGGCCTTGTGAAAACTGGAAATGGGTTTTTCAAAAAAATCATGATTTTTATTCATATATTTAATTGCTTCATTTATACTCTGCCCTTCTCCCTGTGCAACCAAAACAGCTTACATAATTTCCCTCACCTCCATTTTTTCCTCACAACCCTGTGAGGTAGGTAAGCCTGAGTGGCTATTTGAACCCTGATGTTCCCAATGCAAAACTCTAACCACTATACCATATTATTTCTCTGTATGGTAAAGTAATGACTATTTATTTAGAAGAAAAATAGCTGATTGTTACTCCCATACTTTCCGTACTACAGCTTGGAGGTTACTGGCAATGGTAGTACAGAACAGTCTGACAAATTTCTTATGGTCTTTTAGCTTAACGAAAGCTAGAGTTCTTGCCTTGCTAGAGAAACTGTCTTTTAGCTATTATATTGCTATCTCTATTTGTTTCTGTTTCATGACCAAAACTGGAATTATACACCTTTATCTAGGGATAAACTTGTTGAGGTTTAAATAGCTTTTTGAGGTTTAAATGGCTGAGAGAAGCCCTTGGGGTAGTGCAGTGGCTTGGAAATGAGCTGGCAGAGAGGAAGTGATGATGGGATGAAGCAAAAGATGCAGAGTGGCCTTTCTCCCATTGTACTTTTGCCTGAATTAGGCAAGCAAGTTCAAGTTACACAGTTGTTTTAGCAGCTGTTTCATTCCATATGTTTTCTTTGGGTTCATTTTAAGCATTACTTACCCAAAATGCTTGAGAAGCTATGAATTAAACATTGACATGCTGAATAATATATACATATGTACTAAAATCTACATACTAAATAACATACATACAGTACTAAATATCTACATACTATGAAGATAGATTAAGGTGGGTAGCCGTGTTGGTCTGAAGCAATAGAAGACGCAAACTTTGTTCTATCTACATACCAGTAGATATGAGCCTCAGTGACTTCCGTAGGCTTTGTGCATGTGGAGTGCGTCTGAAAATCAATGTAATCAAGCTAATAAGTTTCATGGTGTAGCAATGAAAAATTTAGATTGATTTTAGGGTTTTTTTTAATTAATCAGCGTAATTTATTTCTGTATAATGAACTGCTCAGTGGTATAGAGGGAGAAGGGAAGTTACTCTTTTCCTGAATATCAGACGTCAAAACCCACGCAAACAATTTTTACAGCAAAGAATTCATAGTCTTAGCAATCAAGTCTGATCAAACCCAAAGGGAGATCGCTTCTGGCTGTCATACTACTGTAGGTGTAGGAGGCTAACAGCTTATAGCTGTTCAAACCATTAAGATTTATACAAAGACAAGTTAAGGTGTTAGAAGATCTGTTGCAAAATGTTGTTTTTTCCTTTGTCTATCTAGTGTCATGATTTGGGTGGTTTGGGTTGTTCTTTTTTTAAACTCAGGGTTTCCTAACTATCAATCTAATGCTACTATTTGAAAAAGAGCAATGTTTGCTCTCAGTAAAGCATACTGGCAGATGAGGCTTACAGAGGTCAGGGTTTTATTCATTAAGATTCTTGCTACGGACTGTGTAGTTTTTTAAAGATGTGCTAGCACCTCAACATTGTCAGAAAAATGCAAAAAAATAGTTTTCAGGCAGAATAACCTTTTTGACTTAGAACAAATTAAAAAGAAAATACAACACATTGCAGTTCAAAATATACACGAGAATATTTTCTCCTTTTATGCTCTTCTGTACAATTTTAATGACACCTTGCACTTATTCAGAAGCTGCCGCTGGCTTTTGGAGAAGCTGGCTTTTTAAAGATGTTGTAGAATATTCTGAGCATGTTTGTGAATATAAAAATGGTCATACTGTCATATGGCACATGTTCTCCTTGACCTGTTCCCCTAAATTAGCCATGTATGGTCATTTATAATACATTATACAAGGGAAATCCCAACAATTCCTGTCTCTGGGGACAATCCAAGACCTTAGGAATGTGAAAAGTAACTGATCTTTCACTCAAGGTAGATATAATTCATGAAAGGAAGGAACACTGATGACTCAATTATAGGGAATCATAGACTCATAGAGTTGGAAGGGACCTCCAGGTCCCTGTGCATGTGCTGGCCACTGTTGTTTGGATGATGCAAGGATTAATATTTGTTGAGCTGTCTAGCAAGATTTGGGAAATATTTAGCACATGACTATTGCTTCCTAAGCTAAATGAAGTAATAGACTTTTTTCAGATGTTATTTCCATACATACTAGAAGTCTCCTGACTCTGCATAGATCTTTCCAATACTCATAGTCTTCATGTTCTCTGAACAGGGGCAACTTTGGGGTCAGGAAGCAATTTTTCTCCCTGCCAGTTTGGCCAGGGATCCTGGAGGGTTTTTTCTGCCATCTTCTGGGCATGGAGTAAGGGTCACTGAGGGGAGAGGGTATTTGCAAATTTCCTGCATTGTGCAGGGGGTTGGACTAGATGAGGTCCCTTCCAATTCTATGATTCTGTTATTCTATATATATTTTGCAGACATGTTGAGCTTCTGTGTGCTCAAACTGGATTTTCACTGTTTTGTTTCATGTGTGCCAAACTTATATGTGTTTGCAAAATACATATGTTAGCCCTGTTCAGACAACATGTGACTGTGTATATCATGGACAGCACATGTGTAGTGTGTCACATGTAGAATCCTGGTACATGTGGATATAACATCTGGAAAATACTAATTTGACAGTGTTGCCAGTGAAGTAGTCAGTTCCTTGGGGTTCCTCATGGTTACTATGAGAATGATGATAATTTGTTTAAAAAAACTGTTGCTGTGTAATACTACTGTACTGCAGTGAATTTTCAGTAATTGTCATTGTTACTGTTTTGAAAAAGAGGAACTGACTGAAATGAAACCCTCAGTCTTAGACTTGGATCCTGTCTTCCATGGCAGTGACTATCCAAAATATACAGAACTTATTCATAGAATCCAAAGCCATGTTTTCAGTAGGCCTGCTATGTTGGGATAGTAATACCTGGTACAAGTAAAGGGCATGTGTGCAATTCTATCATCATTTAATATTAAACCTGTCTCCTAACCTCTTCCCCATATGATGTCCTTTTATTGGCAGGTGAGTTTGGAGAAGTATGCAGCGGCCGCTTAAAACTACCTTCAAAAAAGGAAATTTCAGTGGCAATCAAAACTCTGAAGGTTGGCTACACAGAGAAGCAGAGAAGAGACTTCCTAGGAGAGGCAAGCATCATGGGACAGTTTGACCATCCCAACATCATTCGGTTAGAGGGAGTTGTCACCAAAAGTAAGAACCATTACCCACTGAGAAATCCTTATTTAGAATAGATTGTTCACATGGGATTTCAAGAGGCAGCAGAAGTCTGTGGTGAAAGCTGAATAGATGAGTTTCCTTATTTACAGAGAACAATATCCATATTTTTGAAGATGCACATTGGGTAAAGTCTTGCAGAAACGCTTCAGTTTTTCTGCTGTCAGATTTCTAGTGTACAGTATGAAGACAGTGTAGATCATTTGCTTGGTTCTCTCTTAAAGCCCTACCCCTGCTTCTAGACATATATAACAGGCACAAAAAGTCATTTTTAACCTTAGAATATGGATACACACAAAGTTCTAGCTTTGAACCATGTTGCAGATAATCACATATATAAGCAGTGAACATTGTGTCCATGGACAATATTTTTTCATTAAAAGACTGGAGGGTGGTTCAACTAATTTGCAACTAGAACTAATTGGAAAACCCAAGGGCTGTAGACAGTATTTAAATGATCTATGAAAAATTGCTCTTGAACCTCTAATTTCTAAGCAAGCCTCAATGTCCTTAGCAGTCAGCTGTATATCCCCTAGGCTGTCCAGCTTCTCCATGATTCAGAACAGTTAGGGAACGGCAGGTGGACAGTAAACAGGGTCCCCAGCACTGTGCTGCAACTCACAGCAACTCCTTGTGATCATGCTAGTTTTAGTCATAGCAGGCTTATAGTTAATAGTGGGTCCTGAATACCAAAACATTGTTAGATAATTAATATGGAAGCAGTATTTAAGTGTAATAGAATGTTCCACCATCTTCATTTTTTAACTTATCCACACAGTGGAAACTAATATTCCTGTCACTTCTAGACATACAAATATCTTACAGATTTAGGCTGTACTCCTAAGAACACCTTCCAGGAGTAATCCCTATTGAATAAATTAGACCTATTTAGGATTGCTCCCTTCATAGTCTTTCAGAGTGCTGTGCACTCATACACACACACTCCCGGTGGTGGTAATGATTGTAACTGTAAAGCCTTCAAGATTAGAGAATAGTTCGTTGGATGTTGGAATTGATTGCTCATAAACAGCTGTCGGCATTCTTGCTGCACTTACAAAAAACCATACTGCACATTACCTCATGGTGTCAGCATCTGGCAAATATTAGAGAAGCCACAATTGGGCAGGAAAAATCATGTGGCAATAACAATCCCAGGTTGTTAGTCTGATTTCATATTTATTTTATGTTCACAAGAGACAACTACATTTGAATACAGGAGTATGGCAATTGTAAGCTCTTTTTTCTGGTAGGTGCCTTTTTAAAAACTGAAATGCATCACGTCTGATGAGTGTTGTTAATCTTGGCAGATCCCATCTTTAAACTGAGTGTACAGTCTTAGAGGAACTAGGATCATATTTTATTTTTGATTTGTTATAGATCTGAAAATTGAATTAGGCCAACATTTTATAATTACTGAACTTTTAAATTTTGGTTGAAAATACACTTCAGATCGTCACGAAATTCTTTAATCTCACATTTCAAAAACAATGCTTATAGCGCATCCTGGCTGGCATATATTGAGAAGAAGATGTCAAATTGGCTTTTCCTTAGAGTATTTCTACTCACTGGATGAAGTCTCTATTTTCCAGATTATTAAACGGAGACTGCTTGACCTGGAACTCCTACACAATTTAGCATATTTTCTCAGGCTCAATTGAATCTCCCAATTCAATATTGCCAGATGGCCCACTACCTTCACAACTTAGTCCAGCCTTCGCAACGTAGAGCCTTTACACTAGCCCGACTAAATGTGTTCCCTTCAAAAGAGCTTTCAGGTCGGTTTAAGAAAATTCCCTTTCATGAAAGGTTATGTTCTTGTCCTTTAAAATCTGTGGACTCAATATATCATATTATTTTTTACTGTCAATTTCAATCAGTCTTACACAAAGAATTGTTGTAATCTTTATTTCCTCCTAATTATAGTTCTAATAACGAAAACGTTATTCAAAATCTACTAAAGGAGTCTAATCCTAATATTACAGCAATTAGTGGTCAAGTTTCTTGCCGAAGTAGTCAAAGATAGATCTTATTCTAGTAAAGGATGGGTTCATATTGCTTATTATGTCTTATATATCCATGTCGTGTACATTGTACAAATCCTAAATCTTAAATATAAATACACATTGATGGGGTCTGAACTGGCAGAGACTGATCAAGAGAGAGATCTTGGAGTTGTAGTAGGTAACTCACTGAAAATGTTGAGACAGTGTGTGACTGCAATAAAGAAGGCCAATGCTATGCTGGGGATTATTAGGAAGGGTATTGAAAACAGATCAGCCAATATCATAATGCCCCTATATAAATCAATGGTGCAACCTCATTTGGAACACTGTGTACAGTTCTGGTCACCACACATCAAAAAGGATATTATAGCTTTGGAAAAAGTCCAGAAAAGGGCAACTAGAATGAAAAAAGGGTTGGAAAGGTTAAAGCGCTTAGGGCTCTTTAGCTTAGAGAAACGACGACTGAGGGGAGACATGATTGAGGTTTATAAGATTATGCATGGGATAGAGCAGGTAGAGAAAGAGGTACTTTTCTCCCTTTCTCACAATACAAGAACTCGTGGGCACTCCATGAAACTGCAGAGCGGTCGGGTTAGAACGGATAAAAGGAAGTACTTCTTCACCCAAAGAGTGATTAACACATGGAATTCACTGCCACAGGAAGTGGTGGCAGCTACAAGCATGGACGGCTTCAAAAGGGAATTAGATAAGCATATGGAGCAGAGGTCCATCAGTGGCTATTAGCCACAAGGTATAGCTAGGGGCTCTGGGGCAAGTGATGATGGGCCTTTGGCCTTATCCAACATTGATGTCTCTTATGTTCTTATCTATGTATCTTACTGCTATGCCATTAAAGGTATTTGACTTTTACTTTTGATCTTAAAATCAATATATCTCACGGTTTCAAAGCTCTCTTGCTTTCCGGGTCATTTATACTACTGCATGGAAAGTTTCCTAAGCACCAGTTTCTTTTTGCCCTTTATTTCTTTAACAGTGTACCTTCCACCACCCATCATTTCCTCAGATCTCTGTGTTTCAGGTCACCACTATCCAGCTTCTTCTTATTATTTATATGGCCCCCCATAGGGGATTTTTTATTTGCATTTACTAAAAACTACAACAATAATAGGGAGGGAATCTACACACTATAGGAGAAAGAAAAGAAAACCCACTAAAAACCCAAGGGTTGGAGGTCACATACAGCTTGTAAAAAATTTACTTAACAATAATAAATACCTTTCTTTAACATTGAGAATGATCAATCATCATCATAGCTTGTAAAAACATCCCAACAAATCTGACTATATGAAGAGTAGTCCAGGAGAATCACCATTTAACTTAGACACAAATTACAGAGAACAATGGCATCTCATTTAACCATTATTTTTCCCTCCACCATTAAAAGCAAATTAACAATGTCTACCTCAGTAGATATTACACAATCTCATTTTCTCTTCCATTGCTGTTTTCCTTTTTTTTCTTCCCTGTGGCTTCATCTTGCTGTATAAGGAACTGGCCATCTCAAAACAAAGTCCCTTCTCCTTTTTCCAGGACTGTTCCGCTTAAATTCTTGCCTTCAATCATAGGGGCCGTTCCAATTTGCTTTTCACTGCCCGGCTTGAAGAGAGTCTCGTCACCTTATTGCCCAGCAGATTTAATCAGGATATTGCCCGCCCACCCCTTGAATGAAACACAACACAACTTATGGGTTAAACTGGGAGTTTTATTAATTAATTTATTTATTAATTTATTTATACATCTGCACCAACACATTAAAGCATAGGTTGCATTAGGCTTGCCACGCAAACCTCCTAGCAGGGCAAATCCACCCCGGCTCAGAGCCAGGTCTGGCATCCTTCCAGACCTTACTTGTCACGGCCCACATGCCAGTGCATAGAGGGGAAGGAAAAGCACATTCCAGCCCACGGCTGTGAAGCCTTAAGGCTTGTCATATGCTCCTTCCACCCCAGAGAGGCTCCCAACTGAGTCCCCCTGACTGCCAAGCCTATAGGAACCCAGTATGAGGATACCCCATTGCTTATAGCTCAGGCCCTTCAAATTGCAAATGCCCATTTGACTCTCCTCTTCGATCCTGAAAACCCCTATGATCATTGGTTAGACACTTCTCCAATATTCACACAGTCCTTTTAAAAGCAACAGCTGACATGTAGCACAGTTTTTGCATAGTACCTCGTTTATACCAACAGGGGACAAAGGGTTAAGACACAGTTTGCAAGAGTCACATGGTTAACCAGCAGCTCTTCCACTTTCTGAAGAAAGCTTGGATATCGTTTGTTGCTCTTACTACGTTGTCCGTCACCATTTTTAAGGATGTTTACTTTTACAAAGTTTGCCAAAATCCTGAAAACTTGCTTCAACGCTTAACTGCCTCCTGGAATCTCTCTGTACAGCCCATTGCCACTTTTAAACATGCCCCCCCTTTCTTCGAGCTCCGTAACACTTATAAACAGTTCTTAACAGAGAAGAGTCCCCTCTCCCCCCTCGCTTTTCCCCGGGGGGGCTTTCGCTTTGTTGTTTTGTTTCAACTTTACTCACTCTTCATATGTAGATCAAGTAGATCTCGCCGACAGATATGCTTATTTGCTGCTCGACCTCCACTCGCTTGATTTGGGGTGTGCGTAGCTTAGTCCTTGCTGGAACACAGCAGAGAGACCTTCGGCGCAAAGGGACGCCTCAATTTCCTGACAGCATGCTGGGAAAGAGGCGACCCTCCATGCTCTACGACTGGAGACCCTTCACAAGGATCCCCGGGGGGCGCGGACATTTGCACCCCCTCTAACTGCTGGTTTATGAGCTGCCTCTCTGGGAGATCCCAGGAGACACAGTCGCCATCAGCTCGCCGAGACCCCATCCCTATCCAGCTTCTATCAGCCTCCTCGCCTACACAGCGCTCTTTTCCTTGCACTCAGCCTTCGTTTCTTATTATACATAGCAACTGTCCTATAGCCCATG